CGTCAGGAAGGCATCTTCACAATGATGTAACGTGAAGAAACATTTTTACAATAATCGATGCAAAAGAACATCTTCAAAAGGACGAAACCGAGAAACGTCGGAGAGATACCAGGAGAGAAAAGAATCTTCATAAAAAGAATAAAGAACGAAACAGCATCTTACCCATGCCGCGGAACCCGAGCATATTCATAAAGGAAATCACACAGGAGAGGACATCTTCAAAATGCCGCAAAAAGAGTACATCGTCGTAGAAAACATGACACACAAACGAACATCTTCACAATGCCGCGCGAGGAGGAACCCTCCATATAGAAGAAATGATACAAGAACATATATTCAAGCTGCAGCCAGGAAATAGGATCATAAGGAATGCGGCGGAGCAGAAATATTTTCATAAGAAAAATGCCTCGCGAAGAAATTTCATCGCAATAATATGATAAGAAGAAAAGGCATTTTTATAAAAGAGTCGAACAAAAGAATATCATCCATATAACGCGATAAAAAGAATCTTCGTAAGAATGCCACCCCAGAAAAAATTCTCATAATGACATGGCCCGGGAAACTTCATCAAGACACCCCAGGAAAGGACTATCGTCAGAATGGAAATGCAAAAGAAAGAAGAATCTTAATAGTGACACGATAAAGGAAACAATCGCTATAAAAATGGCGGGCGAAAGGATATATTAAAAGTACGAAGCCATAAAATAAATCATGAGAAGAAAGATGCCCCACAAGGAAGATACCTCACGATGACGCACATAAAAAAGAACTTCAGAAAAGTGCAGCAGGAAATATCATCCTGAAAAAAATGCCACACAGACAAACATCTTCATATTGACGCAACAGGAAGGATGTAGTTATGCGAGAACGTAACACAAAGAAGCATTATTATAGTGACATGTCAGATATAAGCATCTTTAGAGAAATGCAGTACACAGAGAAAGTATCAGAATGCCGTGGCAGAGGAGTACACATCACAGTGACGTGAGACAACAACAGGGAAATGACCCGGATGCAGAGCATCATAAAGATGCAGGAAGAAAAAGTATTATCATGAACGGACGACACAGAAAAAATCGTGATAGAAATGCAGCAGATATACGCATCTTCATAAAGATTCC